TGCGCCTCCCCCCACCTGGTACCCCGCCTCCCTCCATCAGCCTCCCCCTTAGGTCGCGTCCACGGGTGGCGCCTGTGTCCTTGGGCTTCCCCATTTCCTGTACTGTTCTTAACCTCCCCCTGTCTATTTTGTTCCTACCAATTATGCTTTTTAATCCCTGCGCCTCTTCCCCTACTGTCCCCCTTCCCCCTCCCCGCTGCTAACCCTCCAGAGTAGCTCCACACCTGTGATTCTGTCCCTGTTCTGGTTGTTTGCTTAGTTTGTTTTTTTAGATTCAGTTGTTGATAGTTGTGAATTCGTTGCCATTTTAATGTTCATAGTTTTTAGTTACTTTTTCTTAGGTAAGTCCCTTTAACATTTCATGTAATAAGGGCTTGGTGACGATGAACTCCTTCAGCTTTACCTTGTCTGGGAAGCACTTCATCTGCCCTTCCATTCTAAATGAGAGCTTTGCTGGATGGAGCAATCTAGGCTGTAGGTCCCAGCTTTTCCTCACTTTGAATACTTCTTGCCAGTCCCTTCTAGCCTGGAAAGTATCTTTGGAGAAATCAGCTGGTAGTCTTATGGGAACTCCTTTGTAGGTAACTATCTGCTTTTCTCTTACTGCTTTTAAGGTTCTCTCTTTATCTTTAACGTTTGGTATTTTAATTATGGTATGTCTTGGTGTGGGCCTCTTTGGGTCCAACTTGTTTGGGACTCTGTGCTTCCTGGATTTGTATTTCTATTTCCTTCACCAAATTAGGCAAGTTTTCTTTCATTATTTTTTCAAATAAGGTTTCAATTTCTTGCCCTCCACTTCTCCTTCTGGCACCCCTATGATTCAGATGTTGGGAAACTTGGAGATATCCCAGAGTCCTCTTATTCTAGCCTTGTTTTTCAGAATACTTTTTTCTTCTTGCAGTTCTGATTGAATGCTTTTCTTCCATATGTTCCAAATTATTGATTTGATTCTCGGCTTCATTCTCTCCACTATTAGATCCCTGTAGATTTTTCTTTATTTCATTTAATTCAACTTTCATTTCTGCCTGGGTTTTTTAATGCTGTTGCAGTTTCCAATGAATTCTTTGAGCATCTTGATCACCAGTGTTTTGAACTCTGCATCTGATAGGTTACTTATCTCCATTTCATTTAGTTCTTTTTCTTGAGTTTTCTTCTTTTTTTTTTCATTTGTGCCATATTCCTTTGTCTCCTTGTTTTGACAGCCTCCCCGCGTTTGTTTCTATGTGTTAGGTAGAACTGCTCTGATTCTGTGTCTTGGTAGCATGACCTAATGTAGTAGGTGTCCTGTAGGGTCCAGTGGCACAGCCTCCCCTATCACCCAACCTGGGTACTCGAGGTACACCCTTTGTGTGGACTGAGTACACCCTCCACTTGTAGTTTGGCCTTGGTTGCTGTTGGCAGGTCAATGGGAGGGATTTATCCAGAAAGTCTGCTGTGACTGCTTCCCACCAACCTCCACCCTCCGTGGAGGATCAGCTGTGCAGGGCATGGGATGGTGGCCCTCCAATATGGTCTGTAGCTGTCCACTGGGTGCGCTGGCCCTGTGGTTTCCCATGTTGTTGTACAGACCAAGGTCAGCCCCCACCGGTGTTTTGCCCAGGGCCACCCTTCCTGAGCTATAAAGCAGTGTGAGATGGCTGCTCCTTGTGCTGGGCTTGGAATTTGCCAGGCGATGCCCAGCTGTGAATCTAGGCTGCCTGCTGCTAGTGCTGGGCCTGGGGCTCCCCAAAGCCAGCTGTTGCTTGTTGATAGGATTTAGGAAGTTGTGAAGCATGAGCCAAGACCAGCCATATATAAGGAAAATCAGCTTGGTGGACCCATAAGATGAGTGAGCCAGAGTCTCTGGGGATCTCCAAGCCAGATCAAACAGTGTTAGCCAGGTTGATGAAGTCTCAGATGTGGCACCAGCTTGCCAGCTCTCTGCGGGGACGTTTTAGAAAGAGGACAATGGCCTCTGCTTGCCTTGATGCCAGTCACTTTTGTTTCTCACCACTGGGGCCTTTCAAGCTGCTACCCCTGTGCAGGAGCTCAGAGGGAGTGAGTCTGAGTGGGTGGGTCCTCGTGTGGGTTCCTGAAGAGGAACTGCCTGGGGCTCCAGAATTTTCTTCTACTGCCTCAATCCCTGCCGCTTTTTGCAGCCAGAATTTGTGGGGACTTATCTTCCTGGCACTGGAACCCTGGGCTGGAAGGCATGGTGTGGGGCTGGGACTCCTCGCTCCCAAGATACCCCTCCCGAATTTTTATCTACCACACGTGGGTAAGGAACCAGCTTGTTCCACTTCTGCACCCCTCCTACCCGTCTGGATGGACATGGTTTCTTTACTTCCATAGTTGAGTCCACTCAACTCAATTTTGATGGTTCTGAGTGATGGTTTTCTATATTTTAGTTGTAATTTTGATGTGGTTGTGCAAAGTGGCAAGCTGCGCCTGCCTACGCTGCCTTCTTGACCGGAAGTCCCCATTCATATTTTAAAATAAAATAAAAACTAATCCTCCTCATAAACAGGAATAGAAGGGAATTTCCTTAAACTGGTCATATATTTTCAAAAAACCAACAAAAAACCCTGAAATTATCCCCCATAAATAAAATTTAAAAAAAAACAACCATTGTACTGGAGGTCTTAGCAATAAGTTGAGCAGTACATCAAGCACAAAAATAAAACACAAGGGACTAGAAAAGGAGGAAAATATTATGCACATAAAATGATGTTTTAGAAAACCCAAAAGGGTCTACATATATATTATTAGAAATCATAGAAAAGTTTAGTTAAGAGATTTATATAAAGTAATATAAACAAATTGGTAACATCTCTATACTCCAACAACAAACAAAACCATCTAAAAAGCAACAACAAAGTATGGAAAGAAGCCTAATCAAACACACACACACACACACACACACACACACACACACACACACTTCTGGAGAAACTTTATAACACTTTATTGAAGGGCATTAAATTAAAGGCCTACCCTACTGGATGCCAAGAGCTATTCTAGAGCTACTGTAACAAAGACCGTGCAAACAGGCAGTGGCACGGAAGTCAGGCCTTGGGTGTGTGGAGCCAGCATGACGGATGGGCCGTATGGCAGATCCATGCAGGAAAGACAGACCTCTGAGCAAATGAACGGATGGGAGTGGACAGGGCTATCCACCCACAAAACGCAAAATCAGATCGTTGCCTCGCAGGACACAGAGTAAGCCTTCTGGAGGGATCCGACTTAATACAAAAGACAAAGCTTAAGTCTCTTAGAATAAAATGTGAAGAAATATCTTTATGCCCCCCCCCAAAAAAAAAATTAGCCATATAAGAAATAAGGTATAAATTTAACCAGAAGCTTCAATCCAAGGAAGTTTCCCTAGAGGGCTGCTTACACAGGAAGCACGTTAATGGACATCCGTAGCGAGGTTACTCAGAGCGGCAAAAACCTGGAAACAACCCAATGTCCGGTGGTGGAAAATGGGTTAATAACTTATCATTTATTTGCAGAATTATGCAGCAATCCAAACGGATGTCTTGCGGCTCCACACCTCCACATGAATGAGGCTTGTAAACGTAACTCTGAGTCACTAAAGCAAAGCCACTGGGGTCTCCACACGGAGCAACGTCATTTCCAGAAATCTCAAAACCAAACAGAACTAAAATAGTTCACAGTATAGAATTATATAATGAATGATGTGTTTAAAAGCCGGGATGGTACCCCCCCTCACCCCCCCGTTCCTGAGAGGAGGCTGGGGGTGGCGTGCGAGGCCGGCGGGAGACGGGGCAGAGGAGCAGCGCACAGACGCATGCTCTGACCTTGACTCTGACCCTAGGAAGGCTCAGATACTAAATATTTTTGGCTTGATAGGCCACAGAGCCCCTTGTCACAGTCACCCAACTTAGCTGTTGGGTCACAAAGGTTGCCTCAGACAATAAGTAAGTAAGGGGTGTGGCTGTGTGTTCCAATAAAACTTTATTTACAGACTCTGACGTTTGTGCCTCATATAATTTTACCTGTCATGAGATACTACTCTTGTTTGGATTGTAAAAACCACGTAAAAACTATTCCTAGCTCCAGAGCCCTGCGAGGCCAGCGCCCGGGGGGCGTGGCAGCCCCCGCTCCGGCGCTCCGGTTGGGTGCGGGGGTCTTCATCCCGCGTCTGTGTTTCAGTCCTGTTTCGCGTATCAGTTTATGTGCAGAAAATATTTTTAAAATGTTTAAGAATGAAAAAAATGTAAGCGCAGGCTCAGAGGGGAATGGGGGCGAGGCAGATGACGTGAAGAGGGAGGGGACCCCAGGACACGCTGGGACATGGGAACTCTTCCCAAAGCCCTTCCCAAGCTTGGGCGCGGTCACCCTTGCCCACAGCGGAGGAGGCCATTGCGCTGAAGGGCAGAGCCAGTAGAACATTCGGTTGGGGCTATTTCCTGCACCTTATAGCTTATTGTCATATGTCATGTTATATGTCATATGAACACATACATTCACACACACCCAAATAACGTTAGCCAGACCATTCATCTACATGAGTAAATTTAAAATATAATTATCTTTGAATTTCAAAAAACCAGCCCAAATCTGTCAAGTACTGTCTAGAAAATGCCCCTTTACCACCAGCTCTGTCCCATCCTTGTTCTGTCAAAAATGATGTTTTTAAAGGCTGACTCATTAGCATTTAGAAGAAATGAGGCCCTGGCGGGGTAGCTCGTTTGGTTGGAGTCGTCCTGATGCACCAAGGTTGAGGGTTCAACCCCCAGTCAGAACACATACAAGAACTGACCATTGAATGCATAAATAACTGGAACAGCAAAATGATCTCTCTCTCTCTCTCCCCCTCTCTTTCTCTCTCAAATAAGTGAATAGAGAAAAATAATAAAATAAAATAAAATAAAATAAAATAAAATAAACATTATAGAAGAAACTTGTTGGGCGTGATCCTGGGTATTATCCGGGTCGGGGTTTTCCAGTACAGAAAGCTGCGGTGGAGGGGTCCCAACAGCCTCCGGCATGTCCATTCACAGTTTGCATCCTTCTCCTTCCTCTTCTTCCGGAAACCTGCAACTGTAGCTGTCTTCCTCTTGGGCAGTTTGCACTGGCTTCATAAATGCTAAAAAGTAATTTCAAAGATACTTATCTTTGGCTGTCTGTTTGAAGCATTTAACATTCGTTCTCTAGAACTCAGAGCCGTGGAACAAACGTCTCTAACAAGCAAACACTCTTCCCTTTAACGAGAACCACGTCATCAATAAGAGAGGTAATGGCAAATGTGGGCTTTTTTCTCAGGATTATTGAAGATATTTTTCTTTTTACCTAATATTTTTAGTGGTTCTGAAAAATTATATTCTTTGTTTTATACAATGGCTAAAAATATACTCTTGAGCATGAATCACTAGTGCATAAAACGTGTCATGTCCCACACATAACTAGTTTCAGCAAAGGTCACTAAAGTTACGCATGAGACAGCTTCTTCTGCAGGAAGTGCTTGAAGCACCAAGATGCTGGAGATGCGCCCCTACTTCTGTCAGTTGATGGGCAAAGAGCTGACTTCCATGCTAGCTTCCAGGTTTTCTTTTACACATCGGTATAAAGCACTAGTGTTACTGCTGGACAAATTTAATCTGAAGCAAATATTTTTGTAGCCTGATAAAGTAAAAGGCCCTACCTCAATTTTACATGCTTAGGACAAAAAAATAACCAAATCCCCAAAACTGCGCTATCTCTAAGAATTTATGAAAAACTGGCAAGACTTATTTAGAAATACCAATGGGATGTCATGTCTCAACTTAGTTTTTGACACCGGTATTATTCTGATTCCCAAACCAAACAAAGACAGTACTAGGAAAGAAAACTACAGATCAGTATCTCTCAGGAATATAACTGCAAAAATTCTTAACAAAATATTAGCAAATACAATTTAGCCACTTAGAAAAAGAATTACATACTACGAGCAAGCAGAGTTTAGTCCATGGGTGCAAGACTGACTCAATATTCAAAAATGAATCTGCGACCCTGGTCAGCGTGGCTCAGTTGGTTGACTGTCAGCCCATGGGCTGCAAGGTTGTGGGTTTGATTCCCAGTCATGGCACATGACTACATTGCAGGTTCGGTCCCTGGGCAGGGCATGTACAAGAGGCAGCCAATCAATGTTTCTCTCCCTCTCTCCCTTCCTCCCTTCTCCTCTCTCTAAAATCAATAAGCATGTCCTTGGGTAAGGATTAAAAAAATGAATCCGTGCAATCCGTCATCTTAATAGGATGAAGAAGAAAATCACATGTCCATATCAATTGATGCAGAGAAGGCATGTGACATGATTCAACACTCATTCATGATTCTTCAAAAACTTCTCAGAAAACTGAAGATAGAAGAGGAACTTCCTCAACCCGATAAAGATCTACTAAAAATCTACAGCTCACATCACACTTACTGTTGAAAACTAAATGCTTCCCCCTAAAATTAGAAACAGGGCAAGGATGTTCACTTCTCCACTCTTATCCAACGTAGTTCTGGAGGTTCTAACCAGCATGATAGGCCAAGAAAAGGAAATAAAAGCATATGGATAGAGAAAGAAAAAACAAAACTTCCCTATTTGCAGATGACCTAATGGCCTATACAGAAAATCCCAAGAAATCTACAAGCTGTTCCTACAACTAACAAATGAGTTCAGCCAAATAACAGGATATAAAACCAATCTACAAACATCAGTTATATTCCTATAACAATGAACACATGGAGACCAAAATTTAGGATAAATACCATTTAGAGTTGTTTTAAAAAATTAAATTCTAAGACCTAAATTTAGTAAAACATGTACAGGACTTGTATCCTGAAAACTACAAAATGAAGATGAAATAAATCAAAGGAACTATAGAGCAATGGAGAGACCCACTGTGTTCCTGAGACCGGAATACTTAAGGTAGCAAAGGTGTCCATTCTCCCCCAGCTGACGCACAGGTTTAACACAGTCGCTGTCAGAACCCCAGCTGACTTTCTGTAGATCATACAAGATTATCCAAAAACAGAAACGCAAAGGAACTAGAATAGCTAAAGCAAGTCTGAAAAAGAACGAAGCGGGAGGAATTGAACCTCTACCCGGCTTTAAGGCCTTCCTTGGCCACAGTAACCCAGACTGTGTGGCCTGGTGCAAGAACACAGAATCTGCCCCACTGTGGGAATCAGTGGGACAGACGAGAGGGACCCCACGCGCAGCTGGGTGACAAACGCACCGAAGCAGCTTGATGGGGGGCGGGTAATGTTTTCAACAAACAGTGCTGGGGCCACTGGGCAGCCATGGGCCAAAACAACAACAAAAATCTGCATCTAACCCTCTCGCACCTTACACAAAACTTAACTGAAGATGAACCACAGAGTTAAATGTAACACATTTAGAAGACAACGTAAGAGAAAATCTAAACCTTTGAGACCTAGGACTTGGCGGAGCATTCTTAGCCATGACTCCAAAAATGAAAAAACAAAAAACAGAAACTGGACTTCATCAAAATTAAAATATTTTTCTCTGCAAAAGACCCTGCGAGGAGGGTGGGAAGGCAAGCTAAAGACCAGGAGCGAACACTTGCGGGATACATTGCCTGACAAAGGGCTCACATCTAGGAGACATTAAGGATTTCAAATGTCGCCCTGGCTGGTGTGGCTCAGTCCATGGATTGATCACTGGCCTGAGAACTGGAAGGTCACCGGCTTGGTTTCCAGTCAGGGCACATGCCTGGGTTGTGGACTGGGTCCCCTTTTGGGGGTAAACAGGAGGCAACCAATTGATGTTTCTCTCACACATCGATGATTGATGTTTCTTTCCATCTCTTTCTCCTTCCCATCTCCTCTCTCTGAACATAGATAAATAAAACCTTTTTTTAAAAAAAGAATTCTCAAGTGTCTATGAGAAAACAAACACTTCAGTTGGAAAAAGGGCAGAAAACATGAAGGAACATTTCCCTGAAGAACATAGGCAGATGGAAAATAAGAGTGTGGGAAGGTGCTCAGCTCTCGGGGACAGGCAGACCAAGGCTACGAGCGAGTCCCTGTGTGCCTTCAGAAGCTGGCATAGGAGACCGTGGCGATGCGGTCTCAGCCAGGCGCTGAGAAGCTGGATCATTCATACGTTGCTGGGAGAACGGCAAATGGTGCAGCTCTCTGGAAAATAGTCTGGTCGTTTCTTAAAAAACTAAACATGCTCTGACCCTACAACTCCAAGTGCACTCCTGGGCATTTATCTTGGAGATATGAAAACTGAGGTCCACACAAAACCTGGACAAAGCCCGTCAGCGTACCTTTCAGTGCAATAGTCAAAAACTGGGAACAAGCGCGGTGCCTCTCCGGGGGCAGCAGGATGCAGGCTGGCCCAGGGGACGAGCCCGCAATAAAAAGAGTGAATTATGGAAACGCAATGGCTTGGCTGCCTCTCCATGGCATTAAAGTGCATGATAAAAAGGCCGATCTCAAAAGGTTCTATGTTCATGATCCATCTGTATATTGTATGATTCCATTGATAGGTAGCATTCTTGAAATGACAGCATTGTAAAGATAGAAAACAGATTTGTGGTGCCAGGGCTACGGGACGGTAGGGGAGAGAGCGTGGATGTGAACATGAAGGACAAGCAGGAGGGAGACCTCTGCGGTCATGGGGTGTTGTGTTTTGATCATACTGGTGTTTATACCCATCTACATGTGGAACACAGTGACACAGAAGTATACGCACTCAGGGTACCAATGTCACTTGCCTGCTTTTGATATCGCACTATAGTTACAGAGAATGTGACCCAGTGTATGGCCCGTGAGACTTTTCTGCACAGCGTTTAGAACTTCCTGTGAGTCTACAATCATTTCAAAATAGAGAGCTTCTAAAAATAAACTCAATTTTAAAAAAATGGAATACAGTTCCATTGCAACTCACAAGTTACCCATAAATACTTTTGAAAATCATCTGATAAAGAACTTTTTTTGCAGCTTGGGTGAAGATGAGATGGTTTGCTCTTTATATGAGAGGTTTCAGTGGGAGCCCAGAAGTTTAAATCAAAGGTGTAGACCTCCCAAAGAGAATCGATGAGCAAACCACAGAGCGGAAAAAGAGCAACAGCCCAGGAACGGAGGCCTAAAGGGTTCCTGTATGTTAATAAGAAAAGGACAGACAGCCCAGTAGAAAAATGCTCAAAAGACTTGCTCGGGCACTTTGCAAAAGAGGAAACGCAAATGGTCAATACACCATGGAAGATAGTCCCGTCTCACTAGACACCAGGGAGATGCCAATGAAAACTGCGGTGAGATCTACCCGCCTCCCACGAGAGAGAGAAAAGCGAAGAAGCCTGATAACGCAAGTGTCAGCCGCGACTGGCGCACAGGGAGCCAGGGCACGGGGTCCCACCGTTCTGGGAAACAGCCTGGCCGACCTACTAAGGACTCAGCAATTTTATTTCTAAGTGAAACAAAAAACAACGCAGAGACATGTACCGTATGTGGACTGAGACAAGTAGACAAAAACTCTGGAACACCATTGTCTGTTTAACAGCCCCAGGCTGGAAATAACCGCAGTGTCCATCAGTATTAGAAGAGAATCAACGAACAGTGATACAGTCATTCAACAAGAGAAATACATGAGGGTAAATGCAACACAGGAGTGTGTCATAAGCATACAACGTTGCAGGAAAAAAGGTAGATACAGAAAGGATAGGCTAAATACAGAAAACATAGAATAGATACATGTGATTACGCTTGTAGAAGTTCACAAGCCAACAAATTAAACTGTTGTTATGTAGCCAAACTATACATAAGAGCAAGGAAATGAATACCCTCGAGTTCTAGGTGTGGTTAGCACTGGTGGGGGGAGTGTTTTCATCTGGAAGGGAGGGCGTCAGGGCTTTGGGGAGCGAGGGCCCCTCTGTTTCATGATCTGGGGAGGGTGGTGCAGGTGCTCCTTCGACAACAACTTGCTACACTTCACAGGGGTGCATTTTCCCCTGTGTGTTGTCCTGCACTGTGTAAAGAGATTTTTTAAAAAATACTGTATGTGTGTTTTTTAAAGATTTATTTCCTTATTTATTTTTTAGAGAGAGGAGGAAGGAAGGGAGAAAGAGAGGGAAAGAAACATCAATGTGTGAAACACCGATCAATTGCTTCTCACGTGCCCCCAACAGGGGACCTTTCCCGCAACCCAGGCGTGTGCTCTGGCTGGGAATCGAACTGGAGACCTTTGTGTTTGCAGGCCGGCAGTCGACCCACTGAGCCACACCGGCCAGGGTGTAAAGAAATTTTATATTGTTTTCAAAAGACCCTTTATACAAATTAGCTTAGCGCATCTTTAGGTAAGACTTGACTACCACTGCCCCTGCTCTACTTTTAACATTTCGGGTCCCAGCAGAGTGCTCTCGGGGCCTCCGCCTGTAGACGGATCCCTCTTACCAAGTCTAGCCTGTCTCTCTGGGTCCGTCCTCCATGAAGACAAAAACCAGGCTGCCCCTATGCAGAAACTGTTTTGGGTAAATGCTAATAGGTTTCATGGAGTGAGTGCGGACTCTTGCTGGGTACGTGCCAAGTTCCTTAAGGAAGCGGCGTCTTAGCTCCGTGAAGGAAGCGCATCACTGCAATTTCCTGTGCAATCCAGACCGTGCAATCCAGACCGGCGTCTCCGGGGCCCTTTCGTTGAGCCTCCTCAGACGCGCTCTGGCCTCTCCATGCCGCCCCCTTGCGGGTCCGGCTCGGATTAAGGCCATCAGCCAGCCCGAGGGGCAGGGCTCAATGGGGCGAACGTTATTTTCTGATTCCTCTTTGCCAGTGTCCTGTGTGCACAACTGCCTGGCCGCACACATGTGCACATACATGCACACACAGAGCTACGCACTTCAATGGTCATTTTCCTACAACCCCTGCATTATGTTCTGCTATCGCCAGCTCTTGGCTTTGGCACTAGTGACATTTGGGGCTGAAGACTCTTGGCTGTGGGGTCAGCCTGTGCTTGCAGGGCGTTGAACAGCATTACTGACCACTCAGTAGGTGCCAGAAGCCTTCCTCCCACCATCCCCCTGAGTAGTGACAGCCAGAACTGTCTCCAGACATTGCCAAATGTCCCCTTTGGGGCAAAACAGCCTGTGCTTGGTAAGCACGGCGCTATCCTGACCCAGCTTCTAGAACTCCAACAGATCGCCCCCTTTTCCTTTCTACTGCAGAAAGCCTGACCCCCAGAGAGCTCCTGTCTGGCACGCGCACGTGAACCTTACGTTGCTTGAGTATGTACAGCAGCCTCCTGCGGCCGTGCCGGAGCCCAAAGAACCAGACCGCGAGGCAGAGCAGCAGGAGCAGCGCCGTCACCACCAGCATGAGGAGGAATCTGACCTGGGCCGGCTGACCTTGGAGAAGAGCGGAAGGAGAGGTGCGTGTCACTCGGGAAGTGTCCTTCCGTTTGTACTTACACTCGCAAACCCTAGTCATGAGGAGGAGCGGTTCCTTGGGCACCTCCAACCAGCTCACTTAGTAAACTTGCCTGTGTGTTAAGAAAACGTTTTTGTTTTTGTTTTTTCTTTAAACCTTAGTAATTTCCCTTGAGGCCCAGAGAAATTAGGGGCTTTGGCTTTTCTATATTTGGCCTTTCTGTATTTCATACAAAAAATGCAGGACTCTATCATCACCTCCCCTCGGCTGTATTGAGGCTGTGGTGCTGCTCGGGCTGAGTCCGCCTTGCTCTGCTTACTAACGCGTGCCTCAGGCTAAGTGACAAGCGCTTAAACACCCAGCAGGTCCCTTGATGCCAGGATAGGGGGAGGCGGTGGGGCGGGGGGTGCCGGGCATCCGCAGAGGCGCGAGGCCTCAGGACATCGCGGCGAGACAGGCTCCAGCGGGGAGGGCCAGGGCATGGCCCCATTGATTTGACAGCAACAGACCAGTTGCCCGATTCTGTCTCAGAGGTGAGCACGCGGCTGAGGACGTACCTGGAGAGAGGTCGGCCGGGACTGGCGCACACACCACGTCACTCTCCTTTGTCCCATTGATCAGTATGGTCTTTCCTTCCAGAGAACAGCTTAGTCCCATGAAAAGAGTTTCAATAATTAATTTAGCTATAGATCATTCTCATTAAAAACACTGACATGTTCCACCCAGCGAGGCAGCCCAGTCACTAAGGCGTGCGGGTCTGGGTCCATCAGGACAGTTTGAAAAACGTCCGCCGGACCCCCTGGCCTCCTGCGGCGCCCGCTCAGCCTGGGTGGCTCTCCGCCCTTCAGCCCACTCGCTGGCCTGACTGGGTTCTTCCTCCCCCCGAGGCTTCCTCCCGTGACAGCGGAGCCTGTTGCCTGGCTAGTCTGCCACCGCCACCCCGACTGCTTGGGCGTATGAGGGACAGACAACTTAGCGTCGGGGTCAGGAGTCCCTCACCCTCGGGTGCGCTGTCCCGGGCCCAGGGGGCGTCATCGCCCTCGGCGGCCCGCCGTCTTTCCTTTGCCCCGCAGACTAACGCCCACCCACCCGCTCACTCTCCAAAGCCCAGCTCAGTCCCACTTTCTGTGCAGACTCATTGACCGCTCTGAATGGTTTGTGATGAAAGACAAAATAACCTTTCTAATCTGTTACTCACCAGCTGTATACTTTTGTAAAACATAACAATGTAAATGTAAAATAATAAAAATGATTTTCTAGTAAGAAAAGCAAATGAAACAGGAGTGAGGGCGTATAAAATACAAGACTGAAATTTCTTTCTGTAGAGTTGGCAGAGGACAGGACGCCAGTCTGCCTTGGAAGCGCCTCCCCGCTCGCTGTCAGCGCCTGCGCGCTCGCGCTGCGGGCCGGGCGAGCTGGAGCCAGCGCCTGTCTGCACGCCGCGCGTTGAGGAGCTCCAGTCGCACGAGTCAACGGGAACATCCCAACATGCCCTGGTGGCTGTCCCTACTCCCTGTGGTGGCCTTGTTTGCCCAAGGACGCGCGATGTCTTGCAGGGGAGTGGCACACTTGACTCTCATTCTCAGGACATCACCCACTTAAAGGTGAGCTGATTGGCAGGGAAGGTGAAAGGCGCAAAGAGATTGGGAGGACAGAGAAGGACACCCTGGGAAGACAGGGACAAAGTCCTGCCGGTGACGCTGATCTGGACGCCCAGGGCATCGTTTCTGGAGAAGACATCCACTTTGTGTACTAAGTTGCTGTCACCCCACACTGTTCCCACAATGCCCAGCAGCACCTTATTCTATGTCCATCCTTGGCAGATTGTTAAAAGCTTCAATGATAACATTCTTTGTCTTTAAAAAATTAACCCACATTTGTCACTTTGTGAGCAAAAGAAAATTATACATACTCCGTCCAGGGTCGACAGATGCCGTGCTTCCCATCATTAAATGTCCCGAAGTCACAGTCTTTACACCCTTGCATAAAAATTAAAGCGATAATTAAAAAGGGAGACTTTCCATCATTTCGTCCCTTTCCCTGTGATGAACATAATCACGTAATAAAGTCATTAAGGTAATGCCATCTACACAGGTTGGCCAATGATCCTTGAAACCAAACTCTAAGATGACGGATGTTTTCATTCCAATCGTACACAGTCTTGTGTCTGTATGTACAGAAAGGATGACACGTATGGGCCTGGCGAATAACAAATGTGATTCCTAGTTATTGCCATTGGCTGAAAAGTAGTTTGTAAATATCACATATTGTCCTTGACTCAGTGGTTTATTGCTTGTTACTTTTGGGTTCCACAAACCTATGCTTTATTCGATAGTCAAAGATCGAGAGCGCAGCAGTGCGCGGGCAGCTGGCGGTCAGCTCCGGCGGGTCGCCTCCGCTGGGCGCCTTCGTGCATGACAAGGCGTACCTCACGTTAGCCTTGGGCTGTATTCCTTCCTCTCCCTTGCCTGGCTCATGTGATTAGTCTGCCTTTTATTGGGAGTATGTTATTTCTTTCTTTGGCTTATTAAGAGAGATTATTCTGTATGCTATGAGCTTGTAAATGTGCCACAGTGAATCTGTGCTATATAAATTTTTAAAAGACAAAAAAAAAAGAAAAGGTCTAAGGCTGAAGCCAATGGCGTTCGTCTAGATAACAAACTCGCAGGAGACGGGGGAAGTGCGCACCTACCGTATTCGGTCGATTCTTGACCCTCCTTACAGTCCTGTTCACACATGATGCAGCTGGCCCCCCGGCAGTGGAACCCCGAGATGCACTCGCACTCTGTGTTGCTGGTGGGGGAGCACACCTTCTTGGTCCTGAAGACACCTGCAAAGCCCCCCAGTGTTACATGGCACTTGACCTCCAAATCCAGGAAGCAGACTTACGCGCTGCAAGAAAAAACCACTCTCGCTCTACTTAATTACTCCAATGACCTCAGAGTATAAAGTTTTCTTCTGAATCCCAGTGCAAGACATTTTCACATTTTGCTGATAAAAATTTCCTCCCTTACCAGATGAATGTTTCCTCTCATATTTAAAAAGCTCAATCCACAAATACTTGCAGGTACCATTCATTACTTTACTGGACCTGCCTGCGGGCAGGGCACCCGCCACCTGCCACCTGACTGTCAGGAGAGTCAGCAACCTAGGGGACCGAACCCAGGCTTCCCAGCGCCTGCCCGACAGGAGGACACATCCCGGAAGCCATACCTTCACACAGCCGGCAGATGTCACAGGCCTTCTGTCCGCTGGCACTGGAGAAACTATTTGAAGGACAGGGAACGCAAATCTGAGTCTTGTCTTTCCCGCAGAAAGTACCTGAGAGGTAGATCACAGCTGTGCACATCTGGCAACGGATGGCTGGCACCCGAAGCATCGTGATGCTCGCAAGAAAACTAGGACATGGAACAACAGTCTGTTTTCCAGGTGCCAAGGGGCTAGAGTTTATTTTGTTGATGGGCTTTTTAAAAGTAAATATTTGCAAGATTGCCCTCAGTAAAACCTCTGAAATAAGAATAACAAAGTATAGATATTGCAACAAATAAGTCAACAGGAAGAAAATGGTTTCCTTTCTCTGTTGAATAAGGCCATCCCTGAGATCAACGCTGTGGGTAAGTGTGTCTGCCTGCCTTCCCCCGCCACCTCCACCCCGCTCTGGTCACTCCCACCCCCTTCCCGCCCCCCCTCCCCGCCGCTTGTCCCCTGCTGGGCCCCCGTGGGCGCAGAGGGGCTCACGCATAAGCTAACACCTGCTGAGGTCTTGCCATGTGCTGTGCACTGTTGGGAGCCCATCATATGAAATAGGGTCTCTCATTGTCCCTAGATGACTAAGTTGGGGGCACCAGAATTAAGGGACATGGCCTTGTTCACATAGCTAAGATGTAGCATGTGTAAAAGACTGAGGAAAAGGTCGTTTGCACAGAGCTCAGACACACACGCTGCTTCAGTTCTCACCAGCTGGACAGTTACTGCAGAAGTCCTGCGTGGCTTGCGCCCTCTTGAAATTCATGACCAGCAGCACGGCAGCCACGAGGTTGTAACACCTATGTCCCATGATGAAGCCCTGCGCAGACACGGTAGTAGCAGAGCCGGCTCCAGGAGAATTTTAACTGAGGTCACTGCTTCACAAATAGCTGTCTGCAAAAGGTAAACATTTACGAGAATGAGGTGGTTCCTCCTTTCAGACTTACACGTTTCAGCCACAACCTACACAAGTCCACAGGACCACAACTCCGGCGTTTTTCAGGAACAACCAGTGAAGGGGAGGCAGCCCATTCACAGAAGCTCCTGTGACAGGACAAGAGTGACGGAGCCCAGAGCCCCGTGCAGGCTTGCCTCAGTCGGGGGGTGCACTCTCCAACACGTTTTGCCAAAACACAGAAATAACAGCAGCAAAACTTTTGGGGACTTTCATGGCCACTTGGCATTAGCATCCAGGTTTCAGCCACGCCAGTTGTTGCTGCCCCTGAAATACAAGCCTTACAAAGAGACTCTGTTAGGGGCACCTAACAACCCAGCAGAATGAGCAGCGCTCTCTAGTGCCATTTGGCTGACGGCAGATACACACTTCCACAACTCGGTGCTGAAACGTTGAAACACCTCTCCGCTCAACTCTTTATCACAATAAAATACTTTTTTCGCTTTTCAGGGACAGTTGACAGTCCGTCTTACAGTAGTTTCAGGTGTACAACACAGCAGTTAGACATTCCCATGGCTCACAAAGTGACCCCCCCATAAGCCCAATGCCCACCTGGCACCACGCAGTCACTACAATATTATTGACTCTCTTTCCTATGCCGTGCCCATTTCCTTAATAGACATAGGTGCCCATTTTGAGATTTGAAGCCCATCTAGTATAAAAACCAAGGAGTGGAAAGAAAATCTCTTTAGAGATTTCTATTTGATCTTTATTTAATGGGCTATGGAAGAGATGTTATTAGCAATTTGAAGGGGGAAAAGTCTAGAAATGTACAAAGAAAACAGAGCGTCTGCTCTCGCCCCAGGCAGAATTGACTCCCCCACCCGGCGCCCCGCCACATGCCCCCAATGGACAAACCTCGAGAGCTCTGGGCTGCAGGAGAACTTCCCGTTCGCCGGTGTTTGGAGCCGCAAAGCTCTGCAGCCGCGGCCGGAGGATGGCTGCAGTTAGACAACCTCGCCCCCAGTGACTCAGCTGGGGGCCGGGCTTCGTGGGAAATCCCCACCCAGGCTCCGAGAGGCAGCTCGCTTGGTATTTGCTGACCCCAAAATCCCCCTTAACAATGGCATTTGGGACATTTCTTGGAAGAATCTTCCTACTGTCAAGACATTTCTCGGACAAATTTGAAGAAAGGATTTTGTCACTTTATATAGTTCCTAAAATATTTGCGATTAGAGGAATAAGGACCAGCCCTTGTGCAACAGGCTGTCGCTGCGCTCTGACGGCAGGGGCTGCGGGAGCTGTAACTTACTGAGGGCAGCGGATGTGCTGGGCATCTGCTGAGCACTTTCGTGAACACTGTCCTCAGACGGACCCTGGGAGTTATTGCTGTCGGGGCAGGGAGAACATGGAGGACATGCCTCTGGCCAGAGAGTCGGCAGGATGGGAGCTGGGGTTAGATCCCAGGATAAGCTGACTCCTTTATCCTGGGCTCCTTGCTGCGTGGGTGCGGCGGAGGGAGGAGGAGGGAGAAAGAGGGAAATGGAGATGGGGAAGCATAGGATTTAATGGCCAGGTTACATTGTTGGATAAAGTGCGATCTGGGAAGGAAAAGGGAGAGGAGGGGAAGGAGGAGGGGAAGAGGAGAGCAGGGAGACGGGGGAGGTGGAGGCGGAGGAGGAGGACGCTTTGGAGATGCTGAGATGAACTGTCTAGCATCCAGCGTCCTCCGGAAGACAACCGGAGGAGCTAACGGCGGGAGTGGTTTAGACCAAAACAGATGGGTTTTCCATTAGGATCTTAACAGAAAACAGCTATTTTTGCCCCCTCAGGAGACAAGGAGGCTTGGTCTTGAATTGGGGGGTGGGTAGAGGGAGGGGACAGGAGGGCTAATGTTCACTGAACGCTTGCTGTGTGCCGAGCCCTGGTATGTCCCATGGCGCTCATGCCGCCGCCGTCCCTCTTAGAGAAGCCCAGTGGCTCCCTGCTGTCCAGTGTTCAGGGAGCCCTGCATCTGACCCGGAGCTGCTTTTTGAAAGTTAAGGTATAGTTCACATAACATAAATTTCACCATTTTAAAGTGTACTTTTCGATGGACTTTAGGATGTTCATTCACTAGGTTGTACAACAATTCCCAGGATGTAACTCCAGAACTTATTCTTCGGTTCAACAAGAAGCTCTGTACCCATTAACAGTCACTTCCCAGTCCCCCAGCCCCTAGTTCCTGGTGACCACTCATCTGTTTCCTGTCCCTCTAGATTATCCTATTCTGGACATGTCACATAAATGAAATCTGCCATATCTGGTCTTTTGTAGTGGGTTTGCTTCACCTGCATAACGTTTTCCGAGTCCATGCATACTGCAGCGGGTGCCGTTCCTTTTCATTGCTGAGTAACATCCCCCTGTGTGGATAGACCACGTTTTGTTTTTTCTGCTCGTCAGCGGGTGGACGTTTGAGCTGTTCCCGCTGTTTGCTCGTCATTAACAATGCTGCCGGGAACATCTGTGTACAGGTTTTTGTGTGGCTGTGTCTTCAGTTCTCGAGTGTGCACCTAGGAGTGGCAGTGTTGAGTGGCGCGGTGAGTCTGTTTCCCCTTTTGAAAAGCTGCCAGACTGTTTTCCGCTGTAGCCGCACCATTTTCTATTCCCAGTTCCAATTTCTCTACATCCTTGCTGCTCCTTGTTATTTTTTTTTTAACTAAAAAATTACTAAAACCATCCTGGCAGATGTGAAATGCTATCTCACTGGGGTTTTGATTTGCACCCTCACCCCAATTTTACACCCCCCCCCCCGCCATCTAATGGGAGCAGTGGAGTATCATAGCACATGGTTAAGATCCCACTTTGCTGTCAGGCTGACTTGCATGAAATCTAGGCTCATGAACCATTGATGGTCATGTGCACTTGGGCAAATTTCTTAATCTCCGAAGTCTCCATTTTTTCCAGCCACACCTTACAGATAGAGTGACATTGTCCCTCCTCCTCACTTGGTGAGCAGCAAGTGCAACAGCGAGCATGGAGAGCTTAGCTCAATGCCTGGCCCATAGTTCTCAAGATAGTAGCACTTGCCATTGAGGTTTACTGTTTTGAAATGTTCTTTCCCTGGTCTCCCATCAGTAAAACAATCCGGAGCAAGTAGCAAGAGAGGGGGAAAAAAATGCATGGACTATCTACAGAACTTATTCCCCAATTCTGTACCATTCCATAAAAATCACACTGCTGATCACCTCCTCGTGCTTTCAAAGTCACAACCTAACCAAGTGGCCCCCTCGTCTGCCTGCGGCGATCTGTGATTAATGTTGTGGCATGACATTTAACTGCACTGTACTCTCATTTAACTAAATGTTACTTGCAAATCTACATTTTGGGTATCCTGTGGGCAGAGATGTTACCGCCCCCCGAAAATGACGTGTGGTTTCCCAGCACAGTCATTAGCTCACTTTTCAGGCTCAGCCAGTGACATGGAAGTCTTCACTGAGCTAAAAGACTCTCAAGATTAGTTTTATCAGCCTACAGGTAAACTAAAGCCCCTACTTCAGAATTATTCTACCGAAGGCTATGCATAGCTTCATTCAGGTGTTTAAAGAAGTGTATTAATGTTCTTGTTGCTCAGTCCTGGTTGACAAAATTGTCATAGGAAGCCAGGGCAAATTCTAGAATCACCCAGACACACATGCGATCTGAGCTAGCCAAAGGTGTGCTCCTTAAGCACATGCTTCATTTTGCTTTAAGATCTGTATCACATTGCTTTCGTCACTGTAGAGTTGTACTGTTTCAAATGCAACAAAAATTTCAGCTTGTCCATGAAGGCTTCCCAAACAAAATCAGAGACAGCCCAAGCAAATATCAACACTTCAGTGCAGCGGATGATACGTTTCATCCCATTCTACTCATCTCACCTGAAGTCACAGAGTAGATTTTATTTTATTTGTATCGACTGTGGGTGTTATATTGAGTATCTGAAGCCAGTATGCTTTGAGACTAAAGAGCAAGAAGGTTCAACTCCAACCAAGACAAAGACAGTATTTAGACATTGAAGAATAAACAGCCCCTCAGAGTAAAGCTGTGTATAAAATACGCTTCTGTTGTCCCAGGGGGCACGCTGGAGGCCGCCTCCTCCTGGGAAAGTTCGCTATTTATACTTATTTCCCCGAAAGGTTGATTCTCCCAAGACTCAGTGTCCCCACCTGGACTCTAAGCCTCTGTCCAGTCCCGGCAGTAGTCGCCGTTGGGGACGGAGGACGCTCCTGATGCCAATGGGAGGCATGGGAAGGAGTAAGTTCAACAGGAACTGGAAAAAATAAAACAAGTGGGAAAGGCGAAAGGAGGGAGATAGAGCAGGGGAGAGAAGGAAGCGCATGCTGGGGGGGTGGGGGGGTGGGAGCAGTAGTCCACTGCGCCTGCTTTCCCGCCTCTTCACTCTCTGCCTTCTCCCGCCGTGTGTGTCCTGTATGTATGAAGCTTCAGGCTCCATTCGACACTGTGCGGCCAGGCCCAACGGGCACGTGGAGACCCACATCCCATGTGTCCAGGTGTGTAGATGCTGCAGGCCAAGCTAAGCACACTGTTAAACAAGTCCTCTTCAGGGCGACGCCCTGCATGTCACAGACACACCCACACTCACAAACGGGTGCCTCTGAGACCGGGCAGGATGTGGCGCTCAAGCTGGCATAGCGACGCATAACTGGGCCGCCAGCTCCTGCGCCCTGGCCCTCGGGGTGACACCATGGGTCTCCTGGGAAGCACCCCCAACGCAGCTCTTGGTCTGAGCCTTGTAAACCCCCGGTGCCGGCGCCTCTCCTGTGCGCCTGCCGGGAGCGCAGGAGTGACCCGCGGAAGTCCTGGCGCAGGGAAAGGACGCGCGCCCCGGTCAGGCCTGTCTCTGACACTCAGGACGCAGCAGATCCGCGCGCAGT